CATTAATTTTCGCATCAAAAGATGTTTGAATTATGAGTATGCTAAACAACTCAAATAAGTAAAATATTGAGTAACCGGGGGTCTACATCTATAAATGTCGATTTTCATGTCAAAAGATAATTTCATTATTTGAGTAAGTTAAATATGAATAAATCCCTCTTAGTGTTGGAATTTGAGAAAAAGATGATTGAAAAAGGAAAAACTATGAATTGACTATATGAGTTGTTTATTTGTGAAATTCGGTTAAGGTGAGAGATTAAATTTTACTTGTTAAAATTAGGGTATGATTATCTCTCTTTTACTTGATATTATGAGCATTTAAGACAAACTGAACAATTACATAAGTTTCATATGATTTAAGACAAATTGAACAATTATAAAGGGTTGAATTTTAAAGTTTCATATGATTTATTTCAAAACTCTTAAATCATTATTGGTTGATTTTTCCTATTGCTTGAGGACAAGCAATGATTTAAGTGTGGGGGAATTTGATAAACGTTTATTTTGCATATTTTTATTGTGTTTTATGCTTAACTTTTGGTGTGTTTTTAGGATAAAAATGATGACATTTGGCTCTTTAAGCTTATATTCCTCAGGTTGCTAATTCTAGTCAAAACTTGCATTTGAGCAAATTACTGCATGAGTTTATAGTTTTTTAGGTTTTGGATGATTTATTCGAATCAAGTGAAGTCGAAGTGATATACTAGGAGTGATTCGAAGTCAATTTAGGCATGAAGCAAATGCAGAACATGAGGAAAAGTCAAAAAATGACCGTGCCAATGGATACTTGAAACGTGCCTCATGGATCCAGTTCAAGGATTCAAAATAAACCTCTATGAAGAGGACACGTGAGCCACAAAATGTGAAGTATGCCTCATGGATCCTTGATGTCGCATTTCATCATCTAAGAGGTAGAGGAACTAATCCGCAACCTAGATCCGTGAGCTACACCTCGCGGATCCATGTTGCATGTCCCTGGGTTAAAGGCAACTTGCAGACTTTTCACAGTTTTTGGGACTATTTTCTTTAATCAATTTCAACTAGTTTCTGCAAAGTAGCAATGGGAACTTGAAAAGGCAACATTTTGGAATCTCAAGGAGCATCTTTTGTAAATCTTTCTTCTATATAAACACTTGTTTTAAAAGGATTAAGGTGATTTTAGAAACTCTTGAGAAAGAGCTATAGTTATGGAAAGAAAAGGTAGAGAGAGCAAAAGAAAGTGAGATTTTCTTTTGTGGAAGAACAACTTTGTTCTAGAACTTGAAGAATAATGTGTAAATGTGGAGCTTGAGGAACTTGCTTCATCTAATTAAATAAGATTTATTCAAATTTTACTCTCAACTTCTTGTATATTATTCATGCATTATGACAATAGGTTTGGGTGCTTTAACATTTCAGACTTTATGTCTAGCTAAACCATTTTCTCCTACGGGTAAAAATGAACTTGTAGCTTCTTGATTTGTGTTGACTTGAGTTGATCATAGCTATCTTGTAAACCTATTAGTTCATATATTTGCACATTATATTTGTACTTGTTTGATTAGTTGTAAGGAGTCCAATTGTGAAACCTGGTCAATAATTAACTATTAGAAAATTTCTATTTTTTGGCTCTTTTGTTAATGCAACTATGGCTAGACGTAGACCAACAATGGGAGGTACAATAGGGGTGAAAGTGCAGGAGGTGGTGCTGTAATTGAGGGAGAAGTTAGTGGGGCTGGTACAAGAAATAGGGCTGATGTAGGTATACGGGAACTGAAGAAGATAACAAAAATGGTAGCAACTCTAAAGGAGAGCATTTGACTAATGATGAAGGGTTTTGCAAAGATGATCAAATGCTTGAGAGTGAGAAACTAGCCCCTATAGTTGAAGTTCTCCCTCCTGTTGTGAACACTATTGAATCTACAATGTATGAGGAATGGGATATAACAAGCTTGGAAAGTGATGCACAAGGAGGTGGTCAACATGCAACCCCAGTTGGCAAAGAATCACAGGCAGCTAATAAAGCATTTGGTGGTAGCAAGAGAAATAAGAAAAAGTATGTTAGAAAAATAGCAAGAGGGCCAAGAAAGAGCACAACAAAAAAATAAAATAAAATAGATCATCACATATAATAATTCATCATCACAAACTGATCAGAATACATCACCATAGGCTGATAAAGGACTAGAAGATGCTAATGATGAAGATGTGTTGTAGGACAACATGATGAATTAAGACCCATGGACCACTCATGGTTCTTCTTATCAAGATGATGATGTGCATAAAGAAATCATATACACTGACCTCAATGCTAAAAAAATACATGGGAAATCCATATTTTCAAGTAGCGATAAGGTTTATATCATTAGTTGAGTTGAAGACTACAATCTAGAATTATTCTATTGCTAATGGTAGACTTGTTTGGTACTACACTAATGAGGAATTTAGAGTGAAGGTAAGATGCAAGGATCCATGCAACTGGGAGTTTTATACTTCTCAGGAGAAAGCACCTGGACCGAATGATTTTGTCGTATGATGTGCATGAAAATTGTAGTCATGCTTGGAAAAATAAAAACATGACTGTTAAATAGATAGCTGAGGCAACAGTGCATAAGGAGTGCAATTACAAATATCAAACAAAAATAATTAGAAATGCTTAGAAATATTACTATTGACAAAATCAAAGGTTATGCAGTAAAATAGTACAAGCATATCTGGGAATATTGTTAGGGGATTAAGAAAACTCACCATGATTCTACCATGGCAATTAAGTTCACTTCATTTAGAGAACTGGGTTGCGATTCATCTAGGTTGCATTTATTGGTTCATGAGGCAGTATTATTGTTTGGGTGCATTAAAGGAATAATGCAAAATGTGTAGGCTTGTGATTGTACTTGATGGATGTCATATAAAAGGGTCATACCCTAATCAACTCTTATCAGCAGTGGCAATTGATCCCAATAATGGCTAGTGGCCTATTGCTTGGGCCATAGTAGAGAAAGAAGCTACTATCTAGTGGGAATGGTCCTTGGAGCTTCTCAAAGTAGATCTAGAAATAGATAATTAGTTTCAGTACACTTTCATCTCTGATTAACAAAATATGAGTATCTTGTTATATAACAATTGGTGCATACTAGTAGCCACTTCAAGTACTAATGTGTAAAGTATTTTTGTGGGGGTTGGATAGAGCATTATCCGAAGTGCTACCTAACTCTGAGCATAGATATTGTGTATAGCACATATATCAAAATTTCAAAAAGAAATATCTCAGTAAGGCACTTAAAGGAATGTTATGGGTAATAGCTAGAAGCAGCACAATTAGAATGTTTAAGAAAACTGCTGAGAACTTGAAATAGTATGATAGTGAAGCATACAAATAGGTGGAGAAAGCACCTCATCCGAGCCACTGGTTTAAGACTTTCTTTTCTCCTCACATTAAGTGTAATATGATTGTCGATAATCCGTGCCAGTCTTTCAATTCACACATACTAGAAGTTAAGGATAAGCCAATTATATCTTTATTGAAAAATGATAGAGAATTGATGATGGAAAGAATTCAAAGAAAGGCTGCCATTACTAGAAATCCACACTTACCAAGGCCTTTGACTAGAAAATTTATTGATGATAGAAATGAAAAGTTTTTTCACTGGTTACCATAATTCAATGGAATTGATGGATATCAGGTAAAGGCCCAAGGAATGCCAATTTATAGTGACTTTGAAAAAGAAGCAATGTACTTGTTGGATTTGGGAAGTATCTAACTTACCTTGTACCCATTTAATTGAAGCAATTAAGCAAATAGAAGATGATCCCCATGAAATGACTAATGAATGTTACTACAACAGCTTATTTTTGTAGGTTTATAATAATATCTTCTAGCCTATCAGTAGCTAGGACTGTCAATGGGGCTAGGCCAACTCGAGCTTGGTTCATTCATCCCGACAAAAAGTCCAATCAGCCTGACCTTTTAGTGAGTCGGTCTGAGTTTAATTAAATATGAGTCGAGCTTGCACCTCATTAGGCTCAAATCCGACATAGGTCCGACCCTTTAATTACCTATATATATAATATTTATATTTTGATATTATGTACAACTATATATCCAAATATATTATTACTAAATACTAAATGTCTATAAATTACAAAATACAAAAATACATCTGAAGACTCTCTTATGAACTTTCTTAAGAGCCAATATTAGTAATGCATAACTGAATCTCTAACTTTTCTTATTGGTCGAGTAAATTTTTGTGTTGGCATAATATTAGTTGATTTCTTTTTGGTCTAGAAACACAAATCATCAAACATGTTTGGATTCAAATCACAAGGCTATAAAAAAGTTTCAATTTTTAAAGATGTATTGGCTTATGACCGTATGTTTTATTAATAGTTTTCATGTATTTTGAACAAATTAAATATAAATATTGTTGAAAATTTTTTGGTTTATATACTTTTTAAGAACTATTATTTGTTCATGTTTAGTTTTAAAATTGTAGTCTTGTAAATGTTAAATTAGTTTTACAACTTAATAGTTATAGTAATTATATTAAGAAAATTAAGGAGTAATAAGTGAGCTTGAGCTAAATCTGAATAAGGCTCACAACTCGAATATTATGTGAACCGAGTATGAGCTTCATGTTTATTAACCCGACACTCATAGAACGAAACTCGAAAATATTATAAATTAAATGAGTTGAGCTCAAACTTATAAAAGTCCAGTTCATTAGGCCCGATTGACAGGCTTATCAGTAGCCAAATACTTTGGCCTAAGTCTACCAACATGGAACTTGATCCTCCAATTTCTACTATCCAACAAAGTATGCCAAAAGAGGCAAGGAAAAGGAATGATGTAGAAGAAAAGAAACTTGGAAGAAAGCTCAGAACATGTCACCATGCATTGTAGGAAATGTGGAAAAATATGGTACAATGTAGCAACATGCAAATAGATGACTTCGAATCGAGAAACTGCTTAACTAATGATGAAGCAATAGCCTATATGTATACATATAGTTTTCATGCCAAATGTCTTACCTTTGTTAACCAATACACTTCCATTTATACAAAGTTTCAAAAAGAAAACAAAGGGCAAAAGAGTGCATGAGGAGGGTTTATGAACTCAACAGCAGTAGTAGCGGTAGCAAACTCTAGCAGTTAACCAGCCAAATCTACCAATCCCAACAATTCAGCATTCAATCCAGTGTCTCAATAGCCAAATCCACCATCTCAGCAACCAATATTAGCAGTTCAGCATCCAAATCCGGCAGCTACAAGTTCTAGATCTAGTAGAAAATTCTACAAAAATGGTAAATGGCTATTAACTAAAGCAAACAAAGGGATGATTAATGCTAATTAGCCTATCTGGGAAAGGAAACACCCTTCAAGTTTGGTGGTAGAAGGGTAAAAGAGATAGAAATACTAGTAGATCTGGATTAACAAGAGCCAGAGGTGGCCCTACAAGTTAAATGGGATTGGATTGTGTTTTGATGTTGACTGAAATGTAAATGACTTATCCTCTAATTGATAATAGTTTATTTAAGTGTGGCTATTAAAATAGATGCATTATAGGTTAGGGGATCCACTTTATGTAAATAGTTGATGGCTTTTAGTTTGTTATGATGAATGGCTTTTGTTTTTTGTCCACTGTCTTTTTGTAATGCATCTTGGAATAGATTCTATGTACTAGTGGAAATCAAAAGCTTTTACAGTTGTGTTTATCCAGTGGTTATGCTCCTTTTGTCTTGTCTTTTCTACATACACGAGTACTCAATTTACTGTGTTATAATACTGCATGCACAAGTGTCCATTCATTTAGTGCAAATAAAAAATTACTGCAGGGATTCCATTACAAAACATACCAATGGAGATCTCACTACAATAGACAACATGTTTCATCTTCTTGGTCTGATTATAGAAAACACTGCCAACTTGACACCTAATCAACTTTACTACGCCTACTTGTCCACAATCACCCTATAGCATTCACGATCCTTTGATGACCAAAGTATGGGCACTCTCATTGATAGTCATAAAATACAAGGGGATACAAAACACCAATACGAAAAATCATGCAGCAAGAAGAGCTCTTGAGAAATAATGCTGTGTAGTTTTGTGTTTTTTCACTTCAACCTCAAATTTTGAACCTTTAAACTCCAATTTTTTAGTTTTAGTTTCCCATCTTCTTGCCAAGGTTTCCAGTTTCTCTCATACAATTCTATTCTATTCATTTTTCTCAACAAATTAGGAATTATGTGAGTCAATCTTTTGCACATTTTTGGATTGCACCAATCCCAAATGCCACATCCCTTACCCTGCATTTTACATGGTAGGACTAAATTCTCATGTTATAACATCTCCATTATAAATCAAACACCTTACCTCTCTTAAAGGGCAAATAACATATCTTCTTGTTGGGTTCTAGTTTGTCCATGAGGGCTTCATCGTTTTTTTGTTAATCTGCATGGGCATCTAGAAATAGGTTGAGAAGAGCGCCTTAACATTCTTTGTCTTCTTTGCACTTTGCCTGAGGAATTTATGGCTTCAAATTGACTCCCTACTTCTTTCTTGAAATAATTTCACATTTGGGTATAGGTTTGAGGAAAGAAATAATGGGGAGAATAGGATCAAGTTAATTGTGGAAAAAATATCCCTATATTTTGCTATGTGTTCTGATTATTTGATAAATTAAGAGCAATAATCGATGAAATGGCCATGGGTGTGCTGATTGGTTAATTTAGTGGCCAACTTTTTTTTATAAAAATTTATTTGATGGCCAATAGTTGATGCAAGCAATAGTTTAATATCCACTGAAATATTTTGCCCATAAAATAATACCATATCCCTCAAAGGCAGAGCCACTTTTAAGTGCCCACCCACCAAAATTTCTGAAGTATCCCCTTTTGATTTACTTTGTTCCTCTAAGTTCTTCAAATCTATAATTATCACCTACTTTAAAAATGATGCCTATTAGAAACAAAACCAAGTGCTAGTTAAAGAAAAAAAAGAATATTGAACATAAAAGCTTTTTATTCTATAGTACAAAAAATAATTATCATTCAGCTTGTGCAATAATGTCATTATTGTAAAATTCAATACAACTTTAACAAAATTGACTCGACTATTATACTAGTTATTTATGATTTTCTATATAGTTATTTTTGTATATAAAAGTTATCTTTTTAGTTGTACTGCGTTGTACACAAAAGCAATTGTCCCCCAACTTTGTGTTCTAACTCCATCACTGCCAGCCTTTATTCAATAAAGAGGGCACAACTTTGAATACGTATGACATCTGTGTTATTTTACAATATACAATTTATCACGTAGAATAGTAGTAGTGTATGTAGTACCCAAGTCAATACAAATTGTTTTTAAAATAAGCAGTCAATAATACGCACCATTCATCAATTAAAGATCCAAATGCACCCTTTTCAAAATTTTCCTGCAGACAATCTCTGTAACATCATATTGCAAAGCCACAGTCATGGAAAGGACCTTGCACTCCTTTGTACAGTGGAAAACAAAGAAATTCGCTGAACAACTTGTTAAAAAAGATGCTAGTCTGCTCCACGAGCAGTTCCTGAAGTACTTGCTTCATCCGAGAATTTTGGCCGGTCAATAGCATCTACCTGGAATTTAGAGGTGACAATCACTTTAAACCAAAAAGAGTATTACTACTTTATGAGCGCCGGAAAGTTATAGAGAAATTACCGTAGCTCTATCTACCTGCTGATCAACAATAACATTGGCTTCTTCATGAATATCAACTCGACTCCCATTTGTTTCTAAAGGCTCTCTTATCACCACACCAATATTCCGGGCTTTATTTTTAGGCTTAAAAATTGCAAGTCCCTTCCCTTTATCTTTCCTCCTTGCCTGAGAGTTTGCATTAGTTGTTCGACCTCTAGAACGGCCCTGAAAAATGTGAAAGTCCCCGAGCTGTAACATCCTAATCATTACTTATATGTTGTTAAGCAAATGACATATTTGACCAGCTTCAGGCTGAATGGGGAGTGGATACCTAGCGTTAGGCAACTAAAGATGGTGCTTACTCCATGATGCCAATGGATGATTTGACGTTTCCGGCAATAGCATAAAATTATGTTGATAACATGACATATGCCATAAAATGACTTTTCATCTTTTGCAAGGAAAATAGCAGCATTAAGGACTAACTTGAACTGGCATATTTAGCAGGTTATACTAAGTGGGCACCTATGCTAGGCTAATTTTTTCACTATCCCCTTTGATTCCAGGTCCAATGGAGATTGCCCCTACTGCTCCCACCAATGTTTATACATGTATAATTTTTTAAGTTTGTCCCAATAGATGAAGTTTATTCCTCCATCTATTAGCAAAGTGGACATGCTTTGAACTACTTGTCTATAATTTCTGATGATGAACTTCAATTGTCCGCATGCCCCAATGAGAATGTAAGTAAATGGCATAGATAGCCACCAAATTATTTCCAATTTCACGTTTTGATCATTGAATTTTTTGTTTAGTCAAAATGGTGATTCAACTAATAAATTGGTACATTTTCGATCACTCAACTCATCAAGACGTACATATTTATCATGCATCTAATGAAAATGTACACCAATTGTTTTCAAAAATGTATATTTAAATTAGTTGAATAACTATTTTAGCTAAATAAAAGGTTTAGCAACTAAAACAAGAAATGTTGAATAATTTAATGATCATTTTTGTCATTTGATCGTGAGAATATTATCTCTCTTTAACTACTAGTACAAATACTCTATAAACTCCTTAATTAGTTAAGCTCACAAGTACAAAGTTCACAATTACATAATAATCGACTTGTATACAATTTTTATTTAATATTATTCTTTGTTTGTCATTTTTTTTCCCGCCAACTCAACACACTTTTTTTGAGTCAACACACTTAAAACAAAATAACAACCCATTTTATTTTTTACATTTGAATCAAGATCAAACAAGACACAACTTTACCTTTATGATTCTTCTCCTTTCTCAATGTGCTCTCAATACACACCCATTTGCAAAACTTTCATATTTTCTCTACACATTAAAATCCACGTAAGTTGTTACCTTTTTTTAACATTTCACCACTAAAGATAGAGATATTTTTTTTATATTGTTATGATTGTCATAATTGACTTGTTATTTTTTCAATACTCTTGCTTCTCTCAACGGTAGTCCCTCTCTCCATTCTAGTTGCCTCTCTCCTCCGTGTCGTTCATTCTTCTCTGTTCCCCCCTCCCCACCAAAAAATCCTCCTCCTTGTTTTTAAACCAAAATTTCTCTTTCATTCCAATGTCGTTGAATAATGATGTTAACTCCAATTAAAAGAAGATTGGATACATTTTAAGATCAAAATAATTAAGCACATTTACCTTCAAGTACAAAATGAATAAGTTTGTTTTTGTTCTTGCACTTAGTGGATATAGACTCAATTTTTTCATTACTTTTCCAAATTAGAAAACTGGTGGAATTGTTAAGATTGTATATTCAATTGCTTTGGTTTCTTAGTCCATGCGTTTGTCAATTGTGCTACCGTCACATATTTCACAGTAAAAGTTCAGGAAATTCTCATACAAGTTAAAAACTCACAAAAGGCCTGCCTCCTCCTTCCCTCTCGAAAACTAATTTTCTACTTCTCTCTAGATCAAAACCTCCTCCACCTCTCAATGGGAGAGAAACCAAACAAATCTGGTATCTGAATCAGAAATAGTTTAGTTTAATTATCATTTCTTTGTAGGACTTTAACATTGTACTGAGACGGATTTTCAAGGGGTAATAAATTAGTAGATTTTCAAGTATGAAACCAATTTATAAAAATCAAGAAATATTTTCATAGTAAGATAAGTAATTTTGTACCCTTTTGGTGTTTGAAAAGGTGCTACAGATTAGGTAGGAAAGGCTTACCTCATTATCTGATCTCGGAGACTGGTTTCCTGTTGTTGGATCATGAACGGCAGCAACACTTTGATTCGGAAGGGTTATTCCCTCTCCCCTCAGTTGGACGGGATTCCGTTGGTCCAGTGATTGGTATGGCCTGTGAAGAATTAACTTAAACTGACTATTTTTGTTCTTAAATTCAAGCACCTCTGCTTCTATTCGATCAACAATGCGATCACTGCTTCCATTTACTAAGACAATAGTCATCTCCTCGAGCTTACTAAGCTGATCAGCTGCTCCGAGGGGAAATATTACCCTTCTCCCTGTTGTGCGATAATTTGGGCGCCGCACAATACGCTCCCACAATCTTGGCTTCGGATTAGGATTGCACATTCCCGGGGCATATGAAAACCTTAAGCACCTTAGGCCAACCAAACTGCTGACTTCTTCTGGTAAACAATGGATTGAGGTGTCTCGAATATCAAGAACTTCGAGCTTTGTGAGTTTCACTATTTTAGATGGGAGCACAGTTAGGTCACCGCAATTGTTGAGGTATAAACTGCGAAGCTCAGTCAAGGAGGAGATAGAGGATGGCAACAATTGTATTCCGGTGCTGTGCAGGTCCAAAACTCGAAGTTCCTTCAAAGTTGTGAAGAACGGTTCCTTAATGCTTCTCAAGTCTGGGTTAAGTTGCAGAAATAGCGTTGATATGCCCCCACATTCCAGGCTCACAGGTAATTCCTCCAATTGGCTTCGTATTAAAGACACCCTTCTGGCCATCTTCCATTCGTCGTCTTTTAGGTGTCCGTCTATCTTTGGACCTGACCTGACAAAGGATGTTCCAACTTCCTCCCCGGGGAAAGTTGTACGAATTGCAAATCTCCTGAAGAGTATTGGCATCTTAACGTACTGTTCAGAACAGCTCTCTAAGAGATAATGCCCAGTCAGCTTGTGCAGTACGAAAATTCCATCTCCTCGGGCCTTAAGGAATGTAGGAGCAGGACAGCAAAGAAAACCTTCAGCTTTCCAACATTCGACTAAAACATTAATGGGAATTGTGAAGTCTTTAGGAAACAATGCTGCATAAAGTAGGCAACTTTTGCAACGATCCTCTTTCAAGCCTTCATAAGCTATCTCAAAAGCCTTAAATAATCCTCCTAGTCCCAGATCTTCAGATTCACCAACATCTGCTGTTAATTTGTCCTTTATAGTTCCCCAAAATTCTGCATCTATTTTGCTTTTTAGCAACGTCGCAATGAATGAGATCACCCCTGGAAGCCCGCCAAGCTCTTTAAGAATCAGCCCAACCAGATCACAGCACTCTTTACTTAGTTTTTCACCTTCCATGATCTTATCAAACAATTTCCTCGAATCATTGTATGGTAATTTTTCTACTTTGATTTTTTGGTCGAAACCAAAACTCCTCAGCAAAACTGGATCTGTAGTTTCAATCACGACTATCCCGTGCTTATGTTCTTCGGAGACTCCAATCTCCCTAAGCTGAATTGATGAAGAAAACCCCTCAAAAAGCAGCAAATACGATTTTTCACGTAATTCTGTAGATATTGTATCTTTATTCTTATCAATTGTACTAATCTGCTCAGTTAACTCCAAACGCCGAAGAATATTCTCTTGTATGGTTTTGATGACATCCTCTTTCTCGTGCAGATTAGTTGGAACAGTCACCCAAATGACGTAGTCGAGTTTCGCTGAAGGAGGGCATGAATCAAACCAGTTATTCAAGTTCTTCATGATATTTGTTTTTCCAACTTGCGCTTCTCCACAGATAGCAATCCTCTTCAATTTTGCTTTTGCTTCTGCTTCTGCTTCTGCCTCTGCTTCTACTTCTGCTTCTGCCTCTGCTTCTGCTTCTGCTTCTGCCTCAACTCCACAGGGCAGCAGTTCACGAAGGAGTTCATCAAGTTTGTTTTGATGCGAAGGCGCAACATCTAGGTCTTTGGCATCTTCCATTCTTATAACAGCTTTTGGCTTCACTGGACGTGTTAAATCCGCAAGTGGTATGTCTTTTCGGGCTGAAGCAAATTTATCCCTTAGCTTCATAACATCTTTATCGAGCCTTGCAAGCTTGAAGAACTTTCGGGTCCATAATTTGTGCTTCCCTAAGTGGGAAATATCCGGCAGTTCTTGGATCGGTGCATTTGTGCTGCTGTCATCCACATCTGCTTTGTTCGAGCCTTCCGCTTCCTGGTGCCTTTGGTTTCCAGTTGCTCCTGTCATCTTTCTGTACTTCACAATTATCTTACTGTAATCATCCAACAACCGGGATACTACCTTCTTCCACGCTTCATGTTGTCGACCTCTCTGTACGGAGGCTGCTCGACGATCGATATCTTCTTCATTGTCATGCCAACGGGCATAAAGAATACCTGCTTCATCTCCAAGATATTTAAGATTGTCCAGTAAATCTTTCACGTGTCTTCTCCTGTGCTTCATGTACACACAGAGATCTTTAACAACCGCATATGCAAATGTTAGAGATGACCCACCAAGTGCTGCATCAACAGCCATCCTGCAAGCTCAAAAGCTTTTCTTAAGCCGACCTTGAAGGTTCCAGATTCAGTAATTAAATTCATTGTTATGAAAAGGGACAAAATGAACCTTAAGTCTTCAATGCTCGGGAATCGAGCTAAATTGGTTTCCAATGTTTCGACCAAAACAAAAGATGTTTTAAGGTAATCAATTTTGAATAACTTAGTGTATTATGTTTTAATCTAAACCAATGTTCGTCTAAAATATTTAATTTTCGTCAAATTGGCCCTCAATGTCCATAAAAATGTAAGAAAATTTATTAACATGAGATACAAAATACATAAAAATTCAGAACAATGATAAAATTTATGGACAAATAATGGGAAACCGTAGAAACTCGGTAAGATATAATATAAGTGTAAACCATCCAATTTTTTACCAAATTAAAAAATTATATATATATATATATACCTAATAATTTGCTAATTGAACAAATCCGGTGCTGTTTTTAGCATGTATGATCTCCATTTAGTTATTTTCTAAACTTAAATATAATAATTCATTAAACAATATATTTTGTACATAGTTATTACAAAAATTAGTTGTAAAGTTTTGGTTTCCATTATTTTTATGGTGTAAGTAATATAATAGTATACAAGTTGTAAAGTTTATAAGGTGTAAAATTTATTACTCAATGCTCTAGTATTCAATGCACAAAAATTATGTAAAACAAACGTCATGACCTCTATTTTGCATTTTGTGACTTTTCACAATTTTTGTAACTATTCTATAATTCTAACAAATGTATTTTAAGCTTTATTATGAGTTTTAATAATTTTTTTTAACATTTATAACCAAAATGGCCGAGTTGAATACCTGAAGGACTACAATTGTTTAAGCGGAAATATTACAGATCATTTTCGTCGATAAACAGTTTCGGAACAACATTTGGTATAGTTGGAACATTTGGGACTAATTTAATTAGTTCACAGAGGGGGCTAAACACACACACACACAGAGACATATGTTAGAGAAGCCAACAATGTAACAAAAGCCATCTTTGCTTACTTTTGCGTAAGAATTCATGTCATTCTTCCCCTTGGAGGAGGAAAAATAAAAGGTTCCTTAAAAAAAAAAAAAAAAAAGAGTGTAATTTGGAGTCTCACTTAATAGTTTTCGTAGGCGATAGTGCCCATCAATTAATTTAGGAATATAAAGTGCAACTAGGGTAAGTATGATCCTAAACTCATCAATTAATTTAGCAATATAAAGTCACTAGGCGCACATGCAACTGGGGGTTGTGTGTGCCAAATGACTGCTCTGGTCTTGGAAGAAGATTCTGAAACTTAAGAGTTTTAGCCCAGCCTCTCATTAAGAAAATGGTGGGAAATGGAAGCGAGAATTTTTCTGGTTCGATAATTGGCAACCAACGGGGCCTTTGTATCAACATTTTTCACAGAACTTACTCTCTTGTTTTAGATGTCAGAGGCAAGATACGTTGAAGAAATGCGTTGCTGAGGGAACTCGGACATGGCCAACTGGGAGGAGAAGGAATCAGAGGTCAGGTTGCTAATGCAACAGACACCTACACTCTTTGTACTGTTTGTTGATGAGGTTGAGTAGAGTATACAGACACCTAGCTTCTTTGGATTGTTCACTGTTAAATCAGCTATGTTGACACTCAGTTCACGGGGTTAAAAGGTTTTCTGATATCATCTGGTTTGGGAAAAAAAACTATGTACCTAGATGCTCCTTAACTTATGGTCGGCCTGTAGAATGCAACTAAATACTAAAGTAGATTGCAGAAATGGGATTTACAGATCTTAGATACTAAGTGCCTGCTATGCGGTGAAGTTGATGACCATCTTTTCTTCAGCTGCAGAGTGTCATGGATGTGGTAGAAAACACTAAATATGTTGGGATCTAGCCGCGTGACAAACTTCTATTGAGACGTCAAATAGCTAGCAATTTAATAATAAATAAACTATAAATATAAAAATAAACGACACTCAAAATTTAGTATGAGCCGACGTCCACAAAGAAAAAATCCTTCTTTATTATGAGAGAATAAACCCCATATAAGAATATAACCTAAACTCAAGTCCAACCCTTGTATAATTGCTCTCTCACCTCCTAAGAACACATGTATAGACTACATGGCTCGCACCGGAATGGGTACTGTCCTTAGATCAGTTTTGCTAAAATTCTTGTAGTTGTTTTGTTCTATGTAGTTAGGGAATGCCCTGGTGTGTAGATATCATTGGATATCGTCAATAAAGAGCTTATTTTTTCCAAAAAAAAAAAAAGAGTATGATTCTAAACTGTCTTTCTATTCATTAATTTTGCTATATCCATATACATACATAAATATATACATATATATGTATTTATATAACTATATAGATAAATATGTTATGCATAATACATATATACATACATACATCATATGTAGGTACTTATAGATGCACATGTCTATGTATATACATATCTACATGCATACATACATAATAATTAAAGGGATAATTTCACAAACCTCTCTTGAGGCTTTTAATGATTACAGAGAGCTCCCCTTAGATTTTAAAAATAACATATACCTCTCCTACTTTTACTGTTTAGTAACAATACAGGTCCAACAATCCAAATTTTCTTTCAAAAATCCAAAATTGTCCTTTTGTACACAATTAAGAAAAAAAATATAGCATACTCAATCATTTTCTTCCACACTTTGCACAAATCAACAAACATAATCCCTAACAACCATCCAAACACAAGTTTTAAAACCAAATAGCTGCCCAATAGATCCCAAATTGCATACACAATACCAATACTTGTCGCATAAAAAAAAATAAAAACACATACAAACCCCATTGACAACCAATTTTATACCCCAAAATTAAATATCAATGCTTAAATACCTTTTCAATATAAGTTAAATTGACCTAGAATTACCATTACAACACTCTTATGGCCTTAAAAATATTAATATTTGAAAAGTAGAGAATGAATTCTACCACTACAATAAAATTATAATAAAAAAATTTCTTATCCAATGAAAGAAATCCTTATGTAATTATTGACATTTTATAAAAAAAAAAATTTTTTTTGACATCAAACTAAATATGACAAATTTCACATCTTTAGTCCTTCTTCCTATTTTAATCATCAATTTTATTATTTATTTTTTTATCACTGCTAGTCTCTTCATTTACTTTTAATTTGACACATAATCTACTCCCTCTGTTGATATTGTAATTTCAATTTGCTAATATCCACAAAACTGAAAATAATAAACATAGGTTATATCAATTAGAAAAGAAAGGAGCAAAAATAGACAAGAGACAGAAAATAAATTTATTTAGGTTTTGAAAATTTATTGCCTTAAATTTAAAATTGTCTATCAAATGGAGGGCATTATAGGTATTTTACTATGTTAAGGGAAATAAGTATAATTTCTTAAACCTGAGGGGAGCCGAATGAAATTGTCGGAAACCTCAAGGGAGGTTACTGAAATTATCCCATAATTAAATACATACATATGTGCATTTGTACATATCTATATGTACAAACACACACACATACTTTATGTACATGTGCACATATTTATGTACACGCATATATACATACAACCACACGAATACACACACACACACACACACATATATATATATATATATATTGTAACTATTTTTTCAACAAATATTCTCTCCTTGCATCTTATTGATGCACGGGTTTAATCCAGTTGTAAATGACTACATTTAAAATAGATCTCAATTGATGCAACATAGGATGCATAGAGATCTATTATATGAACATATAAATGAAGACGAAATAGCAATTGACACAACTAATGATCTACAAGGATCTTTCAGAAAAACATACATTCATTTAACAAAAGACATGAAAATGGTTATGAATGATATTGGACTTCTTAAATGAGGTGAGAAATTTTTTTCAAGTGAACTATTTTTTCTTCATTGATGATTGAGAAAGATACTAAAAACTACGAAAGAAAATGAAACAAAAATTTACCTCGAAGGATTATGATTGCTCATCGATGATGCTGAGCTTTGAACACTGGTTATTAGGAGCAAACAATTAAAAAAAAAGCATTAAATCCTAATGAAAACATCAAACAACGGCATTAGGAACTAAAAGTGTTAGTGGTTGTTTATATTTAACTTTTGGTGAAAAACATCACCTATTAAACCCAAGATCTTTATGGCCATTATTAAAAAATAAATCAACAGCAAAATTGTGGAAATATACCTGGATTCATGTTAACAAACTAGCACTTGAACCCATGAAAATTTCTCTATGTTGTCAGGATTTTCTGACGATGGGATATTGAGAAAGGCTATTTTGTGGTACTAAAGAATACGACAATAAGATACGTGTGACCTGGAACCATAATCCTATTTATAGATAACTTTCCTGTTATCTTTTTGGATTCCTATTTTAGCCCATCCAAGAAATAGAAAATACCTTTAAATCTCTATAAATTACAAGCCCATATCCTATTAGATACATTAAAGCCCAAACCGTAATTGATCATTTTAATTGGACTTAACCTTATTTAACAATCTGCAATATATAATTATTCACATAAAAATCCAACGTTAGATTAAAGATCCAACAAGAAGATCTCACATACAAGCACACACATAGTTACACACACACACACATATATATGTATTTATGTGTGTGTGTGTGTATAATGTGTATGTGCACAATAATATGGTTTAGCAGAAAAAATGCTTTTATTATTTTATTATTTTATCAATATACTTTAGTTGCATTTTTTTCGGGTGTGTGCACAACAATGCAGTTTTGCAGAAAAAAATGCAACTAAAGAATACAGATAAAAAAAATAATAATAAAAGCACAACAAGAGAAAACACACTTTGTCATAGTTTGCTAGAAACGCTAATGATAGGAAAAGTACAATTCTTGAGAAGAAGGGCAAAAAAAAAAAAAATTTGAAAGCAAAAAAGATGAACATTCTAAATGCTACTTTTGTTGAAATGGGTCAACGAGAAAGATATTTTTGTGGAAAAATAAGGCTAGAAAGGAATGCAAAAGATAATTCCCTAGGGTTGTGGATGGAAACAAATGATTCACACTTGTAATTTTTATTGCAAGGAATAAGCAAAGAACCAAGGAGAGGAAAAATTATGGAAAAAGTTGTCAACATAACAATCATTAGTTGATGAAGAATATCAAATTTAAGAGAAAACAAAAATTAATAAAATAACCTGAATAATGTTGGACGGTAAAATTCTCATAATTATACACATTGCTACTAGTGCACATAATTGGTTTCACCAATGAAAGAAATGTAGATAAAAGAAAATGTACTTTAGATCCCAAAATTTAGGATATTCAAGAGTTTCATAATACATTTGAAAATTAAAAATGTTGATTAATGTAAAGAGAAGTATGACCTAAGTATTTTGGATGCTTAAATGATTTCCTCTCAATAAAAGTTTCTCTAACTTCTCTTTACAAGACTTTCAACAATTCTTTTTTCTCTATGAGAGGGAGATTTTGGTCTCAAGTCAATATCTCCCTCCTTCTGCTCTTGTTTTATGTTCAAGAAAATCTCTTCTAAGGTATCCTACTAAAAGTTTTCACTCTTCTAGTGCTTACATGTGAGAGTTTTCTGCTTTCATAGGTTTCTACATGAGAGTTTTATCCCCTCATTGAGGATGGTAGTAAGAATTTTTCTTAGTTTTTTTTTTCCATTTCTTTATTAGATTTAAGAATTTTTTAAAAATATGTATTTCAAATCTGAGATTTTTTTTGGTCCTAAAATCAAATTTCAGTATCTAATTTGAACTTGAACTAGTTGTATAGCAAATATGATATTATTGACATATTATCTGGATTTGAAATATGTTGAACTTTCACAATATAATCTTTATTATTTTTTAAATCTATTAGATCTAGTGATTTTTTAGATTTATTGTATCTGTGACATGTTCAATGTATTTTTGCCACTAGTATAAATTTCATGGAATAAAATTATATCTTTTTTGTCAAAAAAATTAAAAAAAGTCACATTAGTAATTAAGAAAATATTTATTCTTATGAAATCTTATTTTTTAGAACAACTTAAAACAATATGGCTAACTCTTCTAGATATGAAATAACTGTTGTCAAATTACCAGTGCGTGATAGGTCATAATTTGTTGCTAAATTTATAATTATTCTTCCCTTGACTTTAGCCAAATATTATTTTAATTGTCGGATTCTACTTATATTTGATATTTTGTGCTTATTTAAGGAGCGGGAATGAAAAGTGCTTAAATGAAGATTTTCTAGTGAAAAACATCTGATGGTTGCACGTGGGCGCGCCTAAGTTCACTACTCAAAGCCGAAAAGTCGGGATTGATATTAGCCAATCTCCAAATCCGAATCAGTTTCCTAATTTGATAGTTATCAGGACCTTCCTGATTTCGCGGGATCATCCTCAAGTCATTGGGAGAGTTTTTAAGAAATAAAATTGTGATAGAAATCTTTTTAGGAAGTTGATTGGTATCAAGATATCAACCAATTAGGAGAAAAAAGGAGGATTGTTGTTCGGTTTGGGACTTTTGGCTTCTTAGCAAAAAATTGGATAGAAAACAAAATAAAGGGGAGGACAAAAAAGGCCAGATCCCTCGTGATTAAGAGTTCGGCCAGCAACAAATTCGGGAGGAACTCTTTGAAGTAGAACACACGGCCGTCACTTGCTGCGGCTGATTTCGGCTTGCTCTTAGTTAGTTTGTGGAGAAGGAACCAATGGTTATGAAGGGAGTCCTGCAGATTTCCCTTGAGGATGTGTAGCTAAATCTCCATCTTTTTGTCAAGGGACAACTGAAGATTTGATTCAATAATAACTGTGAGATCTAAATTATTTTAACTATTTCTTTCATTTATTGGTATTTGTATGTTTTCGGTTTATAATTGTTGTTATAGCCATCGTGTATGATTGAATGGGTGTGCAATATTTAGTTATTCACGTAGGCTATTTGCTAATTAGGGGTAGTTGAATCCGTAATTGTTTGATTACCTCTATCCTAATAGCAACTGGCATAATTGGGTTTATGTCAGGGAAACATACGATCTAATTTAAACAAACCCTCGTTGCGTATTTGTTAGTTAGGATTGGATTTTTCTAAATCTTAATGCAATCTAGAAATTAAACCCTACGGTCGTACCTAAGGTTGTTTCCGGGTTAGAAAAATAGTTAGCGGTCGCACCTTAACTATCGAAAAAGTAAGGAAAGATTGGTTGTTTATTGCGTGTATGACAACTATAACCAATCTATTAATAAATATTGGAATTACCTTGAATCAATGATTAGTTGCATGAACTATTTCTGAAGTGTACCCTTGACTAGAGTTCTCCCAATTATTTCTTTTAATTAATTATTTTATGCGTTTAATTTATTTAGTTAGCATTTAATCCTGAAAAACCCTATTTGTCTTGACTCGAAAGGAAACAAATTTCTCCCCAATCCCTGAGGAGACGATCCTGCTTGCCATTGTCTACTAATTAGTGAATTTAGTCAGATAATTAATTCTGGTATATTGTATTAAGCAAACTTTTCGGGAACAATGTGAATCAAGTAACCCATTATACACCTAAAGTTCATGCTCCAGTACTTAGAATTAATTATTGACTGCTTTTGGTAGTAGTTAGGTTTTATTATTATTATTGCATAGGTTCGGCACTTGTCAATTTTTGACGCCGTTGCCGGAGACTGGCGCCTGATTGATTTGTTTCTTTTTGAATTCATCTTGTTTTTTTTTATGTTTCTCTTATTTTATATATATATATATATATATATATATATATATATATATATATAGTTTATGGCTGCTAACATTCGGTATTTTGGTGATAGACTGGATTTTATTTCTAGAAGGGGTTATGAGACTCGCGTTTTATCTAATGATCAATGGGATGTTGCAAATTGTGAAACTTATTTTACCTCAGATCATTCAATCGGCATATGCCCTACATTCCAAGACGGTCTAAGTGCTCCAATTGATACTTTTAGAGATTTTTCACCTCAATATCAAACGTGATATGACCCTTATTCAAACGGGTATGATCAAGGATGGTGGGATTATTCTAATTTTAATTATGCGACCAGGCCAATGGATTTTCAATAACAAGAGTCTCAACAACCATCATCTATGTCAGGTATGTCTCTTGAAGAAATGATAAAATCAATAGCTGCTAACACATATCAACTTCAACAGGAGACAATGGATTTCTATCAGGAGACAATAGATTTTCATCAGGAGACACAAGCGAGCATGCATAACCTGGCAGATCAAGTGAATCAATTGACATTTAGGATAACGCAATTGACTTCTCAAATGTGTGAAGAATTGCTCTCACAGACTATTATCGACCATGAGGAAGATGAGAGTGCAATTATCTTGACAAATGACATGGAACTGCAAGAGTCTCAAGAAGACAGATCTAAAGATGCAGTTGAAAAGAAAGTTGAAGTGCAAGAAATGAGACCCCAACATTAAATTGCTCAAATGAATGAATCCAATGAACAATCACCGAATGCGATGACATCTCCTCCATTCTTTAATCAAGATTCTCCTAACTCTTATTTTTTAATTCCTGTTAGTGAGATTGATTTTATTATACCAGACGATTTTGAGTTTCATGACAGGAATAAGTTAAGAGTTGCGATGGCAAAATATCTCGAACCAGTAAGTGTTCGTGACGGAGGAGTGAGTGAAGAATTAAGATTCTTGTTGATTTGTTTGGCGTCATCTACTAATCCATGGAAAACCATACCTCGTGTGCTCAAGAATTACTCTATTTACGAGGGTTATCAGGGATACATAGAAGATGAAGCACTGAAACGAGTTACACGATTTTATCCTCCATGAATAAATATAGCGATGTCTAGCCAAAAACATTAAAGAAAAGCGCTGCTTGGGAAGCAACCCAAGGCTTTTTTTGTTTTAGTTTTCTTATATTTTTGGAGTTTTGGTTAAGTGTTAGTGTCATTTAGTGATTTGTTATTGTTATGGCAGGAAACTGGCAGTTAGACGTGCCCA